ATTTCCGAATCCCACTGTCTCCCCCCTTTAAAGTGTCAAATCTTTTTCAGGCTCCTTCATTAAAGATGTGGTTATCCCACTCATCCTACTCATCCAACTTATTCCAGTCATCCTCTTCATCCTAGTTATCCGAGCCAACCCAATAGTAGTCCCAGTCGTCCCAGTCATGTCCGTCATCCAAGTCACCAAAGTCACTCCTGTCATCCCAGTGACCCTAGCCACCCCAGTTATCCCAGTTATCCCGGTCTTCCAAGTCAATCTAGTCTCACCTGTCATCCTAGTTATCCCAGTCAACCCAGTCATCTTACTCATCCTAGTCATCCTAGTCCTTCTTTTATCTTAGTCATTCTAGTTATCCCACCCATCCCAGTTGTCATAGTCAACAAAGTCACCACTGTCATGTTGCCCTATCCCTTAGATTAGCGTATGTCTAGCCATACCCTCTGTCCATCCTCCTTTGTCAGGGGAGGGGGGGGGGGGTGCGGCTGCACGTAGGCTAATCTGAGTCAACCCATTCATCCTTGTCATCTCAGTCCCTGTATTCATCGTAGTTATCCCAGTCATCTCAGATATTCCATTCTTCCCAGCCACCCCAGTCATCCCAGTTGTCCTAATCAACTCAGTCATCCTAGTTCCCCTAGTCATCCCAGTCACCCTAGTCATCCTAATCATCTCTGTCATTCTAAGTATCTCTGTCATCACAGTTACCCCAGTCACCCAAGTCATCTCAGTTATCTCATCACCCATTCATCCTAGTCACCCTAGCTATTCTACTTTAACTTTTCATCACAACCATCCTGTCACCCCTGTTATCACGGTAAACCAAGTCATCCTATTCATCCTAGTCATATCAGTTGTCCTTGTTGTCCTAGTCATGCCAGTCATCCTAGTAATCCCAATTATCCTAGTCATCTTAGTCATCCCAGCCATCCACGTCATCTCATTAATAGTCATCCCAGTCATTCCCTTCATCCTTGTCATCCTAGTCATCCTATTCATCCCAGTCATACCTGACACCCTCATCATCTCAGTTGTCTCATCATCCTTGTCATCCCAGTTTTTCTAGTTATCCTTGTCATCATAGTCATCTCAGTGACTCCAGTTATCCCCAGTCCCCAGTCAACCCAGTCCTCCTAGTTATCCCAGTAATCCTAGTCTTCTCAGTCACCCCAGTTATCCCAGTTATGCCAGCCATCCCAGTTACTCTAGTTACTTCATTCATCCAAATAACCCTAGTCATCCCAGTCACCCTAGTCAACCTCAGAGTTGTACGCACCTTGAAAGTCCTTGAATCCTTGAAAAATGCAGTCAGTGCTGGAAAGTCCTTGAATTTCAGTGCGACCACTATGATAAATTGGGAAATGAAGGAGAAAGTATGCAAGTATAAGCCCAAGATCATAACATTTAGGCAGACTAAAAACACATACTTTAAGTTACGTAATCAAGAACTAAGTAATGTGCCTGGCATGTCGGTGAAATTTTCACTTGCACAGATGACAAGTGTGAATACTGGAGAGGACTGTTTGAGAGTATTAAAAAGAGGGTGAGAGAACAAGACATCTCTTATATGACGTGGGAATGGAAAAATGCTTTGAGAGTGAAAAAAAAGTATGCTAGAATGTTTGCAAAAGATCGTACGGTCAAGAACTTAGAACTCAAGAGGAAGTACCGAAAAGCATCTGTTTTCCAGTTTTGAATGACATTGAACACATATTCTAACAGGGTTAGACCTGTGAAACATTTGAACCGTGCAGTCTTGGAACACCAGGAACATTTTGACAGCATTGTTCCCAGTCTTGCATGTATTCTGACAAAACATCATGGCATCTGCAGTGGGAAACACCTCTTGAAAAGCCCTGGAAACGTCATTTGCAAGAGTCTAATTTTCAAAAAAAGTCCCTAGATGCCTCGGCTCTCAAGAACTTGTGCCTTTGGTGCGAGTTTCAGAGCCACCTACTATTCATTATCAGCCTGCAACTTAAAACTTTTTGACAGCCCTGAAACACCCTAGTCATCTCAGTTATCTCTTCACTGTAGTCATCCTAGTCACCCCAGTTCTTCTACTCATCCTTTTCGACACAGTCATCCCAGTCACCCCTGTCAACATAGTCATCCCATTCATCCTAGTCATACCAGACACCCTAGTCATCCTAGTTATCTCATCACCGTAGTCATCCTGGTCACCTCAGTTCTTCTACTCATCCTTTTCATCACATTCATTCCAGTCACTCCTGTCAACATAGTCATCCAAGTTATCCTAGTCATCCCAGTAATACTAGTCATTCAATTGATCCTACTCATGCAAGCCATTCCAGCCATCCTAGTCATCCCACTTATCTCAATCATCCTGGTCACCCTAGTCATCTCAGTTATTCTAGCTATCCTTTTCATCCCAGTCATCCTAGTTATTCTTGTCATCCCAGCAGCATCAGTCATGCCAGTCATTCAAGTCATCCCAGTCACCTTAGTCATTCAAGTCATCCTAGTATCCCAGTCATAGGAGGCATCTTAGTCATCACAGTTTTTCTAGTTATCCCTGTCATCACAGTTATCCCAGTCACCCCAGTCGTTCCAGTCACCTAAGTTATCCTGATCATCCTAGTCACTCTAGTCATCCCAGTCATCCATATCACGCCAGTCTTCCCAGTCAACCCAGTCCTCCTAGTAATCTTAGTACTCCTAGTCATTGCAGTCATCATCCCAGCCATCCTAGGGTCATGCATCCTAGTCATCCTAGTCATCACACTCTTCTCTTTCACCCTGGCCATCTTAATCATCCCAGTCATCCCAGTCACCAGTTACCCTGCTAATCCCAGTATCCCTAGTCATCCCAGTCACCTCAGTTGCCTCAGTCATGCCATTCATCCCAGTTACTCCAGTAATCTTTTTTAGTTAGTCGTCCCAGTTATCCCAGTCTTCCCAGCCATCCAACTCATCTCATTAGTAGTCATTCTATTCATCCTGGTCATGCAAGTTGTTCCACTAATCCAAATCATCTCTGTCACCAGTGTTATTCCAGTCATTTTAGAGATCCCTGTCATCCCAGTCATCCTCTCATCCTAGTTATTCTAGTCATCCCAGTCATTCTGGTTATCTCAGTTATCACAGTAACCCTAGTCATCCAAGTCATCCTAGTATTTCACTCATTCCTTTCATCCTAGTCATCTTAGTTGCCCCAGTGATCCCAGGTATCCTAGTCATCTTAGTCGCCCCAGTGATCCCATTCATCATAGTCATCTTAGTCACCCCAGTGATGCCAGTAACCCTAGTCATTCCCTTCATCCTTGTCCTCCTAGTCATCCTAGTCATCTCAATCATACCAGACACCCTTGTCATCTCAGTTATCTCGTCATCCTAGTCATCTGCAGTTTTTCTAGTTATCCCTGTCATCACAGTCATCCCAGTAACCTAGCTAAGTCATCCTAATCATCCAAGTCACTCCTATCATCCCTGTCACCCCAGTTATCTCAGTCAACCCAGTCCTCCTAGTCATCCTAGTAATCCTAGTCATCCCAGTCATTCTAGTCATCCTAGTTATCCTAGTTATCCCAGCCATCCCAGTCACTCCAGTAACTCCAGTCATCCACAATAATAACACCAGTAATCCCAGTCACCCTAGTCCACCTCGGGGTTCACATGCATCTTGAGAGTCCTTGAATGTTAAAATAAAAATTCAAGGCCTTGAGGGTCGTAGAAAATTGCAGTCGCTGCTGGAAAGTCCTTGAATTTCAGTGCTTACTTTGTTGAACCCAGATTCTTAAGTGCCCAAAAGGAGCAAACACAGAGAGACAATTGCAGTCATGTTGAGGGAACTCAGAAAGATATAAACTCAAAGCTCTGATTGGAATCCTTGAAAATTGGAAATGTGTCCTTGAAAGTCATTGAATTTTTTTGTTTCAAAAAAAGGTACAACCCTGCAACCTAGTCATGCCGGTCATTCTAGCTATCCCTGTCATCCCAGTCACTCCAGTCATGTTGGTTATCTCAGTTATCCCAGTAATCCTAGTCATCCAAGTCATCCTAGTATCCCACTCATTCCTTTCACCCTAGTAATCTCAGTCACCCCAGTTATCCCAGTCATCGTATCAATCCGAGTCATGCCAGACACCCTAGTCATCTCAGTTATCTCATCACCGTAGTCCCCAGTTCTTGTACCCATCCTTTTCAACACAGTCATCCCAGTCTCCCTTGTCAACATAGTCATCCAAGTTATCCTAGTCATTCCAGTAATAATAGTCATCCTATTGATCCTAGTCATGCAAGTCATTCCAGCCATTCTAGTCATCCCACTTATCCCAATCATCCCAGTCACCCTAGTCATCTGAGTTATTCTACCTATTCTTTTCATCCCAGTCACCTGTGTCATCCTAGTTATTCTAGTCATTACAGTTTTTCTAGTTATCCCAGTCAACCCAGTCCTCCCAGTCATCCCAGCCATTCTAGTTATCCTAGTCATTACAGTCATCCCATTCACCCTTGCCATCCTAATCATCCAAGTCACCCCAGTTACCCACTCATCCCAGTGATAATAATAATAAGTATCATTTGTCATTCCGGTCACCTCCGTCATTTTAGTCACCTCATTCATCCCAGTTACTTTAGTCATCGTAGCCACCCCAGTTATCAAAGTCATTCAAGTCACCCTAGTTACCTCATTAGTCATCTTAGTCATTCTAGTCAGTCTCGTAGTCTTTCTTAGGGATGCACATGTGCACCATGTGTTCAAGTAGCAACACCCCTCCTATGTAGCCATGTACTTTTGTGACTCAGTCTTATAATTATAGACATTGAACTATTGGTACATCCCTTGCTGAACTCTGTTTGTATAAATACTTGCAAGCCAAAAGTCAACAATGAGTCACATATAAGTTAACAATTGTGTGAAAATGAATTCTTTTTTTTCTCAGGCTGAAAAGAACAGCAGATTTGGCAAACTGGTCAGCGATTCATCAATAGCTCAATACAGGAGTTCAAAAGCCAACAGTGAAGAGGCTGGTATCATCAAAGTCAACTCTTTATTAATACCTAGTTTAGTATTTATATAATCATATAATTTATTACTTACAGTTACAGCCTCAACACAGGTATTCGGTTTTAGAATATTTCTGGCCCAGCCCGGGAGGTCATTGAATGCGGGGTACAGCTGGCCCGGGGTTTTCCTCCTAGGAGCAAGTGGACGTACGGGGAGGTTTTTCACCCAGCTGTTGTTCCACAACCCCCATTCAACAGCAATTAGGCAAATTCATTTAGTTTGGAAGCGAAAAACAAAAAAAGATTATTGACTATTTCAACAAAATTAATAGGACGTCATGCATTAGTCAAAACAGGAGTGAATTGATTCACTTGCAATATTTTTCCTTTGAATTCTACCTGAAGTTTACAGCTTTCAAAATTCAAAGAAAACCTACTTTTATTTATCCAATCAAACTTCAGTCACTGTAGGATCTTCAGCACATTTCAGCCATAGAGTAGATTGCTGAATATGTACTGAGATCAAATTTTAATTAGGAATTCTGTAATTCACTGTTGGAGGGAATGCTTAAGATACCTGTATTACAATACAATGATAATGATACATTATACAGTGTGTGTGCCACCATGTTTGTACAAATAAGTGTGACTGAGAAAATTTTATCAACAGTTTCTTTATTTTTTGAAGTAAATGAGTCACCATCCAGTTCAATTTAGCAACTGGACAGGGACTTATCAATTAGGCAAAGTTTTCCTAAATTAAGCAATTGTTTTTTTCAAATTGGATTATTTTTTTCCAAAAAAGATCATATTTAAACAGAATTTGAAATTAAATCTACTGGCTTATTTGTACTAACTGCAAATTAAGTTAAAACACAAGATTCCTTTGAGTAGTGCATCGTCATTCAATTTTACAAAGGAGATTTCCGACTGGGAAAAAAAGGGAAAAGGGTTCTTTCTTTCAAGACAATGGTGAATGAAACTCTGTATCCAAGAATAGTTATATTACTTAGTGATTACAAACGAATTTTCCAAGGAATTGGCAATTTCATCAAAGATGGGACACAGTGCAAAGAAATTGTTTAAAAAAATAATTTAAGACCAGTTTAGTCTGGTAAAGAATAGCAAAATTGAGCTGAATTAGTTTTGGTATGGGCTAAGGGTTCAGGGTCCCAGTGACACATTCCCACCCAAAAATTCATAAAGTACCACCCTCGGGCCTAGTGCTTCACTGCTCAAAGGGAATCTTGCTTAAATAATAGTGATCATGATATTATTATAGTATTTAATATAAAGTTATCGTTGTTGGGTGGGTAAGGTTACATATTTTATAGATCATTACATGTACATACCTAAAACCTTAAAAGCTCAATTAAGCCCCTATCTGCCTTTTAAGGAGGGTTGCAGAAGCTAGAGGTAGGGGGGAGTAAACGATTTGGGGCAGGGGGGAGAAAGGATATTTTTTATCTCAAAAGGGAAGGGGGAAATTAGAGAAGAGGTGGTCTTTTGATCAATAATCTTCCACAAACTGGCAAAATGTTCTTAGCTTGGTTTGATGGAAATCAGTTCCTAAAATTTCCTGCAAATTGAACGGCTTTCAAGGTAAGCTGTGGAGGATGTCATAGATGCTATGGGGCATCAGTTACAAATCTAGGCTTAAATAAATAAAGGCTGTGATCAATGATAGGTAGGGGGTAGGATGGGGCTTATAGAGCTTTTGCCGCATATACAGTTGATGGCATTGTGCTGCAAGTGTAGGTGGGAGTGGCCTAGTTTTCCGTGTAATTGTCTGGGACTACGAGTCAAAATGCATTAGCCATTCACTGAGTTTCAGTTTCGTAGAACAGGGGAAGCAAAATGTTACCTGTATCTTTAGAGGCACAGGAAGCATTACAACCTTATCACGGCAAACATTAATCACACAGGCAAGATTTTTCAACGTTGCTTTAATTTAAATCCATTTGTTAAAGTTTGCCACACACTCAATTCTTTTTATAGGTCCACCTTCTATTGGAACTCTTTTTCTTTATAGGAGTTGTTGCGCTTCCTGTTTTATCTTAACACAGTGGAACTATGTTTCTTTGAACCTCTTGTGAAAATGGAGATTGGTTTTAGAAAACTAGGAGTTCAAAGAATTAGAGAGATATTAAGCCTCGTTCTTGGGCTTTGGGCTTTCTTGCCATTTTCTGTTTGGGAAAGCCCAAGGCGACTTAGGGGAAGGAAAACAAGTTTTAATTTGAATAATCAAGAGGTTCAAAGAACCAGGATTCCGCTTATACAGTATTAGTTTTAATTTAATGCTAGAATTAAACAGTTTAGAGCAAGCTCATTAGCAAACTATTAGCTCTAAACCTCCTAAGTAACATATATTACTTTAGTCAGGCACTATACAGGCTGCAAGAAATAGTAGTACTGTACATACATGGTTTTAATATTCAGAACAAAATGCCAATACAGATAAGCTATGGGCTATAATTTATATGGGTAGAATCTACCAACCTTGACCATCAGAAAAGTTATGATGATCTT